ATGTTATTAGGACCGCATAGCAGTCATCGACCTTGCTATTGGAGCATGAGGTGGATCACGTGGCCCAACTGGTTTCGCCATTCTGGTTTCCTCCGTATACCGGCGGCTTACGGTAAGCACAAGGGAAATCGAATTGCCGCCTGAAGAAAGACACCTTTATGCCAAAACTTCATCCAAACCCAATCCAAAACAACCGCATTTTATAGACGAGATTTGGGTGACATTTTTGACAGAGTCAATAGACCGGGAATTACTAGTCGAGGCGATACAGAAGGCACATACTAAGAGCAGATTTTAGATCGAGCATGAGAATGGGTCAGTGCCTTTCGTAGACGTTCTTATACGTCGGCGGGCAGATAGGTCCACCCAAGAATGCGTCTATCGAAAAATCACCTGTAAAAGACACTGCATGCCTCTTCTTAGTTTCGTTCTAAGTCAGAAAAAAAGAGACTTCTCTTTTTATCTGTTCAATAAAGCAACTAGAATCAGCTCAGACGCAACCGCCTATGAAATCAGTTTCAAGCAAGATGTTTTCATGTAAACGGATATCCAGAGAAATTCATCGACAATTATCGCCATCCCAGACAAGGAGGTCTGGAAGGAATGCCCGTGTCACGAAAGCCGGTGAGCGTCAACCTATCCTCCGAGAGTGATACTGTACCAGACGCAATAAAGCGACGGCTCTGATGGAAGACTGAACGGACGTCCGCCGCGTCCGACTTGGTATTCACAAACACTTCAGTTCCTATTCCGGTTGGAACAATTAAAGACACTCAGTCCTACGCACACCACATTAGAGTGAACATAGGAGCGGAGTAAACTACACATCTGCAATTTAAATTTTGTAGGAGCCCGTTTTTGTGACGACCAGAGTGAGAGCTGTCACTGTCTAATTACGTCTTGTTTGAATCTCCAAAGAAAAACACGACAAGAAGGGCGCAAAAGTGGATGTCTTTTAATGTATCTAGTACAGCATATATAACGCAAGCAAACACATGGACCAATCAGATAATGTCCTCGAGCGAGTAGCGACTCGATTTGTTTGATGACTCATCAGGCGAGCTTTTTAGTCCTCAGCCTGACCGCGGCTGCGCGTGCACTGCATGAGTAGACCAGTGGTATGGCGTGGTAGCGACTCATCAGGGCTGTGTGCACGCACGGTTAGGACGGCTCCTAACAAGGACAAATGCCGAAAACGTTACTGTGAATACTTTCTCGTGCTATGCTGTGGTAATCACGCTTGGGAAGTTTCTACTGTACTCTAAACTTATCCACACAGACAAATATCACCCCCCCCCTAATCAAGACCACCCAAATGGCAGATCAGCGTTCAATGTATATATTCACTTATTAAGTTTCTACTCTTTGAGCCGTTTTTAATTGGAAGTTTTATCTTGTTAACAGGCACGCAATGAATAAGAAATCGCGAAATTTTATGACGTCATTAAATTCCGCACATTTTGTCGTCTTTGCATCGTAAAAGCGATAGAAACAAGTTGACTTGGACGACAAAATAGATAAAATGGTCAATGAGAAGCCCACAAATAATTCCCCAAGCCGACTAAGGATATAATACGTCCGCTAGGGATGAATAATGAGCGCTTAATGTTAGAGGCGTATTCATAACAAAAATCTGATAGAAATCAATCACGTGTTAGCCACCGTGAAGTGTCGATATAAAGGAAATCATATCCCCTTCCTTTACTTCATAATCATCCTGGTCGAAGAGGCACCAGTCAGCGTCGTTGATGAGAACTAGTATGCCTGGTCGGATTGAGTTGCCCTGCATGAAGAGTTCAGGCCGCTCTGTCAGCATATTATCCCGGATCCACGGAAGGAGCTGTCCCATAGACCTAACACTCGCTGGAATCTCGACTTCGTGCTTCTTCTTGTTCCCAAAGAGAAGCTCGGCACCACCACCGAACTCAACTGCAAGTTTCATGACTGGAGGGTCAATAGTCACGGTTGAGAGACCAGCTTTACAGTAGGGGTTGTTGTAAATACTGAACGCCCGTCACTGCAGTAAATAGAATAAAAAGCGTGAGAATTCAATGATAAAACAAAGGCTATGACAAAAATTGACATTGAAAAATTGTAAGATCACCTTAGGAGTACTCACAAACATCCATCTCTTCTAGCCTGTGTTTGACCACAGGGGTGCTGAGAAAAAAATGCCCACCAACCGTATTAACGGAGGTATGGAGTGACACTGAAGCACTTTAGAACTGCAAAGAATGAAAAGCAAGGAAACCATACAGCTAATGAGATTCTCAAAACAACCAGCCGGTGGCTCACAAACGAAGCTGTATGGGAGCATTCTTCAAACGAATTCAACTCACTGCAGTAAGCCGGAAGGAAAGATGCCTGATCCCTGATATCTCTGCGACCAATTTAAGCACAACGGCTATTTGAGGAAGTTTTTAATCCTATGTTCACGGTTTCCTTCGCGGTTGACTTAAGACGTTATTTTACTTGCGGACTTATTAGTCATATCGTCAGAAACCTTTGCCTTTAATTTAGAGTCTGCAGCCATCGGGGGATTAGTTGCACTGGTCAACTAAAAGCTGCTACTGAATAACCATATTTTTGCGAATGCATGCGAAGGTTAAAGTTCTAGGTGATTGTGTGAGTAAAGAAAAATTCTGGTCGAGCACTAAAACAATTGATTTATTGTTGCTGGACTAAGTGTTGAAATTGCACGCTGGCCCAAAGCCACTATGCGCAACAGGGTGTATAAAATCAAAGAACGATTAAAACCCTGTGAGCAGTTGAGTGTAGCGCATCGCACCTCTGCCCAAACTGTCCTTGTTACGACACAGGTCAGACTGTACGCATGCTCGGATCGCGCATACAAAAACAGCTTTCGACTGTGAGGCGGAGTAATGGATTATCACAAGTGGCTGCCCAGGCTTACAAGACGGCTTTGGAGTTTGATTTGCAGCCATGAGGACAATCACCCACATCAGAAGGAAGACGAGCCGTAAAGCGATTTAGCCTTAGACCTACGACGAGAACTCAGCGAATCGAGCCGGCTTAAACGCCCTTTGCAGTCACCTCCGGACTGGGGAACCCCAGCAGACGCGTCTTCGTCGCGTTTCCACCCGCCCACACGGCGGCCAAGGTCTGCTACACCAATCTCCCTACGGTGGATCTATCTCTC